ACATACAACAGAAGGGATTCGCTGGTGGTCACCCACCCAACTACTAACCTCCCGGCGTGTGGCTTAAGTACGGCTGAGCGGACGGGAAGCCCTGTTTTCCACACCCTGTGGTCGTATGTGCTTAATTTTTTATAAGTTAAACATATATCGGGCCGAAAGATATATTAAAGCATTTGCAGCCAGAAGTCATGCATATCTTCCTGTAGCCGCGACTCTTGGGTCGTGTGGCCTTGCCGCAGATTGCCCGCGAGGGAAGCCTGAACTTCTATCATATCAGCTATACTACTTGAAGATAGCCTGTCAGAAAGGTATGGTAAGGTGCATGGTAAATGTCCTTAGTGATATGGCCTGGGAGAGTTGAACTCCTCATCTCAGTAGGTCTTCTGGGGAAGATGGCATCTAGAGCACACTTGCCTCTGTGATTACTTCGCTTACTGGGTAAGAGGTGTTTGGGGAGCTGCTAAAAAATATAATTGCTACAGAGAACACAGATTGCACGTCTCTACTTTTTTGAACCAGTCAATCAAAGGTTAACCTAATTTGGTGCGTGCTCAATTTATACAACAAATGTTCTATAAGCTAAGTACACGCACACAGACATAGAACACACAGTACCCAACTGAGTAGCCAATCTTACAACAGAATGCAAGATAATCAATCACTTGCATGGCGACATGGTCCCGCTGAATGATGTAGGTGGTCTTCTGGGCAGGATCGCGAGCTGGACCGGGATGGGAGTCATCGGCCCATGGGCCTTCTGTGAGATTGTGCACCGCCATATACGGCTGCCGGGGCAGGCTATCGGTAACCCTATTATTTTGAGCACCACGCAAAGTTAAACCATTATAAACAACAAATTAATGTATATCTTTGATATAGTTAATCTACGAGAAGACGAATAGATCAGCGTAGTAACTATATTGAAGATTCAAATGGAAAGCTTAACTATTTGATTTTTGATTATCTAGTTAACAAGTTGAAGCTGTGTGCCAAAAAGGCTACATCCTCTAAGATCCTTTTTTTAAAGCATATTGTCTATAGAGACTTTCATTTCTAGTCTATTATTAGGGTAGATCTTTTATTGAATAGAAAGAAAGATTACATTAACAGCTTTCCAGAATATCAACGAGTTGTATACAGATATAGTTAATAGTAATTTAAATAGTTCGTAAGATATGTCTATACTTCACTGACTATTAGGAGGGTTTATCTATTGAAAGTACAAAATATGTATTTAGTATCAAACACCTGTAGCAGTCAATGTCGCTCAATCATTCTGATATATCCAATCATTCTTCAGCATCTAGACATATATTCAAAAAAAAATTACCCATCAATTCTAATGCATTCCTTACGTGATTATCTCGAAGTTGCTTTTTTGGACGCCGTCGCTGCGATGCACACAGTCCTGTGCGCTACGACTACTAGCTAAGACCATTAGTGTCTTGCAATTATCTTTGACACTACTATCAATGCCACCCATACCACGAAGCAATGGATCCCTTGGATTGGGGTGGAGCCAGCGGAACAATCAATACGAGACCTACTCTAATCATATGGATTCTCTGATATGTCTATAGCGCACGCAATCTTCATTTACAGTGACAGCGATACAATAAGTTCAATACATTAGATAGCGCGATGCGAGCGCATGTGGCATTCCTCGCCTCTGACTGAGTGACAAGAACTCTCCCTCTATCTCAGCATGCATCGTCCTCGTCCCAAAGGTCAGGGTCGTCCCAATGAGTGTCCGGCCCGACGCAGTACGTATACCCCACTTTCAAACTGCTGTCGCAGTCGTCACTCACCAGCGACGGATTAGACGCGAGGAATAGGCCGGACGGGATTTCTTGCTTGATGCAAATTGCAGCGCAAGTGTCACCTTCCTCGACTGTGTACCATTTTCCGCAGTAGCAGGTCGTCCCGTTGGCCACGGTAGCCCCATCGGGCGCGTAAGTGATCACATTGGTGTAGCCGTTGCTGATTTTGGGCTTACTCGACTTGCTTCCTGTGGCATTGTGGCTGCCACCTTGGGGTGAGAGACAAACGACACTCCCGTGGACTTGACGGGTGGTTTGCAGGTTCGTGCACTCTGAATTGAGCCAGGGATTATACTTGCGGACGTCGCCGTATTTGAGGTGCTGCTCCCTGAAGATCGAGAAGCAGGTGTCATTGTCTTGGAGGGTGTACTGGACATCGCAGCTGAATGGCATGCACAGCTCTCGCCCGGCAATCAGCTCGCTGCAGTCGTTCACCAGGGTCGGGTTGCCGATCTGGATGGCTGCGGACGCGACCTGGTATCGAGCGGCAAGAAGGTCACAGGTGTCGCCTTCCGAAGTCGTGTGCGTAATTCCGGAGGCGCAAAAAGGCGCTTCTTCTGCCTCTGTGGTGTAGAGAGGATTGTGAAGGTCTGTTGGGCCGGAGAGGCCGCATTCTTCATGAAGAATCTCTAGTGTATCTTTGTCATCTTCAGTGTAGGCTGCATAGCGGCTTGCCTGTTGCATTTGGACAGATGTCGTGAAGCAGTACGAGCACATCTCCGACAGGGTCATGGATCTAACGCTGTCAACCTCGGTGAAATGTACGAGTACATCTGGACAGTAATGCTTGGTTGACGGGTCTTGCAGACATGTAAGATTGTAGCCCGCGTAGATGTAGCCACCAGCAGCAGTAGGATCTGTATCGTCAATTTCTTGGTCGGAGCAGCTGTTGGAAACATTATCCATCCAGCTGCTCAAAGACTCCCCGCACCCCTTGTCGCAGACGTCATCTGCCATCGTGTTGTTTTCGATGTATCGGCCACCACCGGGGCCCTGGTAATTTGCCTGGAGCCAAGGATGGCAGAGGATCTTCTGGGAGAGAGCAGTCTTGCAGGTATCGGTGAGACCATCCAGCCATTCTGGCTGATAGAGCTGGAATCCGGGAAACTTCCTGGCGCCGATGGTGGCATCTGCCTCGCGAACCCACGCCAGAATAGAAGACATGAACCCGTTCACATTATCTGCTGATAGAGTGGGCTTCTCGTTGACGGGGCTCACCATTTCGATAATCCCTCTAGTCACTAGATTGTATAGCCACGTATCCGTGCTCTGGGATATCTCGACCGCTCGTTGCTGGCAGTCTTCCGTGTTCAAGCACTCCTGACTGTAGGATGAGAACCAACTGTAGAGACCTTTACAATAATTAGTGAACATGATACAAAAGAATGGTGTTCATCTATGAGCTGGCACTCACCTGCTCCCAAGGTGTAAACAGATTTCGAATCAATGATACGCAACGCCAAAGATACAGCACATGTTTGGGAATCCGAGTCGCAGTCAGTGAATGGAGGGTCGTTAGGAAATAGTCCAGGGGAGAAAGGACTCGGAGCTGGGGGAATGTTTTGAAAGTACGGTGACTCAGTCTGAATCATCCCCATGTAGAGATCCTTCGCCTGCGAGACCTGGTACTGGTAGAGAACATCATGTTCGGAAGCAGTTCCATATAACCATGTGGGACCCTGGCTCTCAATGAGAACGCCGCGTGCAGTATACACGTCGATTTGATCCTGAGACTGAAGATCCAAATCGTGATCCGCTGTCCAGAGCCAGATATTCGAAAGATAAGCTGAGGACTGAGGTGTGAGATGAAGCAATAGCGAAGCCGCGACACAATCCGGCATAACCATTCCTAGGCCTTTTGGGCATTGAGTGGCTTGTAAGTCAGAGCCAATGGCTCCTCCAACTCGAAAATGCGAATCTTGCCACGTTCTTGGTCAGCAAGTGTTCAGTGTATCAGTAATCGACCAAAAGTACATACCCCACATTCCCGCTGAGCCCTGAAGGGTTTGACGAACGTTCCATTCCATTAAAATTGCTCCGGCTGTTGGACCAGACACTGTGAATAACAGGCTTTGAATTTCAATAATGCCTTTTTCACCCGGGCGCCCAACCTGGACCGCGACATGTGGATTCTGTTCGTCTTGGAACTTTTGGCCAGTAGCCATAATCTGAGACCACACTTGACCGATAATCCGAGAGTTTACAGGGACGTGCAGGGTGTCTCTGATAATATAAATTCCGTAAGGAAAGAAGACGATTGAGGACATGTTTGCCGCTCGATCTAGGATACTGTTCAAGACCGCAGTATCATCAGTCTTGCCATCTCCCGCTGCACCCCAGGCCTTGACATTAATCACTTGACTCATGCCCACATCTCTGTAGGTTGGCCGGTCGCGTATGAAGATGTTCGGAAGAACGTAGCTGTATTCCTCCGTCAAAGAAGAACTTCGATTCATGCTGGGAATATCCTGGCCATTGTAGAATGTGCTATTGGCGCTTGAGCTTGCAACTCTCCCGAAACCCCAGGACTCGACCGTTCGATACCACCCACCGGCCATTAGGGTCTTGCCTTGGGAATTGTCTAGGATCGCCGTTTCAACGTTAAGGAATGCTGTCCCTTGAAGCAAGAAGGAGGTTGAATTCTCCGCTAGAAGCGTGGTCACGATTCCGGTTTGAGTGTTTGCAATGACAGCATCAACCAAGATAAGAGAGCCAACAGACTGCCCGGTACTCTTTGGCCCCCCAGCCTAAATTCAATATCGCATGCCTTTGTTAGATCTAGCCTCGTCAAAAAAGCAAGGAAATTGGATAAGGAACGTACCCCGCCAACTATGACGACACCGTTAGTGCAATTGTTGATAAACACATCCTGCATTGTCCACGCCCAATCCCAATGGACCTGTATGGCTGTCTTGCAGTTTAGGAACATTATGTGTGTCGTAGTGAATTGCTGATTACCAAAGTATGCTCTATAAAAGAGTAAGCCAGGGAGGAAAGCACAATCAGAAAGCACATGAGCCATACCCAAAGTTACCACCAACGAAAGTTAGGTTGGTAAGAAACCCACCGCTTCCATTCTCCATGTAGATACCCTATGCGAAGACTTAGTCTTGTTTCTGCGCTGACGCTCTTTTCCGAGGTCTTACCTGTTGCGTGGTGACGCCGTCCTGCATCATATAGAATTCAATATTTTCAAGAGATGTTCCTTGTGCTACTTGCCAATGAATAGCGCAGACGTACGCGTTTGGGTCGGTGCGAGTGATATCCATTCGGAAATTTCGGATAGATCTCAGGAAATTGTTCTGATTGACATACCACTCGGTATCATCACCAGTATAGACATCTGACGTGATAACTCCTAGACCAACGAAGCTCGAGGCTGCCAATATAGTGGGGTAGTCAAAAGACTACAGCAAGGTTTAGCCAAAAGTATTCCATACAATGGAGCGGCAACAACTGACATTTCCATAAAACTCAGTATTGTAATACTGGATAATGGGGGAGCTGACGAGATACGTCCCCGAGGGAAAGTAAACAAACGCAGGATAGATTGTGCTTGAACCACAGTCTGCACCACATCTTCCTCCATCTGAAATGGCTCTGTTGATTGCGGCAGTGTCATCAGTGATGCCATCACCTGGAAGATGAAGATCAGTGACGAACGAAGAGAGAATGGCTACGAAGTATCGGTTTACCTTTAGCACCGTAATCCAGAACATTTCTCCATACCTATGAATAATGTTACCGAGAAGCTCTCAATGATCGCCGACTCGACTAATCCATGGGCTCACCTTATAGCCATCCGGAGCATAGGGACTGGACCCACTGTCTCCCATAGTCGTCAGCCAGAAGTCGGTGGTGGAACGCTTTTTCAGCTTGGTTCTCTGCGTCTCAAGACTATCCTCGATTGAGACCCTGTGCACATAACCGTCGAGGCCATTTGGCTGCTGGTATTTCTGCGCGGGAACGTTGGTGTCATTGTGTCTGTACGGTCGATATTCTGCAACGACAGCAGCAATATCAACACCGTAATCTGTGGGCAGCGACTGCGGATAAGCCTCAGCTACCACACGCGCAGCTTCGGCAAGCTCCGGAGGGATGGTATAGGTATACTTTTGACCCCTCTCATTGTTGCTACGCTTAGTAGCATTTAGCGTCTCGCCGTGAGAAGTTTCTGCAGTGACAGAACCATTCTCATAATCCAGTGCTGGGGCGGTGTCCGTCTGACGGACCGATGAGTCAGACTCGAACTTATACTCATTCAATTGTGGGTTGGCAAGCCGTCCTTGATTCATCACTGCCAAAGCTTCCTTGGCTTTCTTCACCAGCAGTTCCGCCTCTGCCAGACTGCTCAAAGACGGAGTAGGTGTCGCTGTGGGAAGCACCTTTGAACTGGATATGCCTGGTTCGCCGTGTCTTCTGGCATGTTGAGGATGGAAATGATGATGGCCTTGATGCCTTGACGCAAGGGCAGATGAAAAAAGAAAGAAGAGCAAAAGGAATGAGACAAACAGTCTTATGCTCCCGCGGCGCGAGGTCCCCGCGGATTGAGCCATCCCACTAGCAAGTGCGCGGGTTAAGAAAACAGCGCAGAGAGCTAGGCCCAGGCAGAAAAATGACAAGATACTGAAAGTTAGAAGAGTGGGATTTGAAGATATTTCTGAGGATATGCAACCTTCGAGTACATATACGTTGCTTACAAGACAAGCTACCCCTGTTCGTAAAAATGCCTCACTACATGAGCACTAGACCTACTCTGATTCTCCTTCTAGAGTACGATGTAATGGTCATCAGACCCACGAGCTGCATACAAGTAACCCCTTTCCACATCGTCTCGGATTTCGCCGGAGCTGGTCAGTTTGGCGTGGATACTCTATATCATGTTATGGAGAGGTTCGATGGGTATTCAAAGCTAATGTATGCAAAGCAGACCCATGGCTCACTCACGAGGACCAGAAGTTGAGCTGGGCTAGGGCTGAATGCTGAGTGGTGGCCCACAAGGCCGACTCTTGAACCAATACCGTAAACAGTAAACTGGCATTTACTCTATCTTACTCTAGTGTGAAATACTTTTCCTTGGCCTAGGGTTCATTGCTGAACTGGGTTTAACGTCAGGGACAAACTCAACTGAATAGAGCCATGAAGGGTCTGCACTCGAGACATGAAGTGGACACTGGACAGATAGGGTTGTCAAAGAATGAAAAGAACCACTAACAGCACGAGCGCCGGCCCTAGCTTCAATAGTCCGATCTAGTGACAATTAGCGATCTCCGTTTCAAAAGTCAAACGCTAAAATCCGAAGCTAATATATCGACTGTTTGTCTTGGCATCGGCGGGCCTTCTTGGCACCTCTTAATGAAATTTCAGCAATAGTGTTTGCTCTACTTTGACCGATTATTCTTCGTACCGCAATCGGCTTTCCTGACACATTGTGGTAGATATTGATAAGTATATTGAATCTCTATTGTTGTCCGGGTTCCCAAAATCACCAGGATCATGGGGGTTCGTCGAATAGGAGTTAGAGACCTGTGATGACCTTGATTGGAAAGGGCTTCTTGTTAAGTCCACATAAAAGACTTTGATCGTTCCAAAATCTGATTCATGAAGCATTAGCGTTGTATTTCGGTCAATGTCCGTGCTCCCCCGAGCGATGCTTTCTCCGTGCGAAACCCGTGAAAAGATTCGGGCTACTTGAGAAACGTGTCTATTTCTCCCTCATACTTGACAGAGACCTCCTTGCACCTAATGACACTGGTGAGATATTAGCATCTAGCCCCACCCACAATTGTGTTGGCTCAGGGGTTATTTGGCTGTTATTGTCGAGGAAAGTGGCTCGCTTCAATCTCGGGATATCGGAGAACTTCGGGCAATAGCCTAGGGGTATGAAGCCCAAGGTAGGTAGGTTGACACTATATTAACCAGATTAGACGCATACGAGGCCACATTTGAAAAGTAATCTTTCACTTCTATTGACGATCTTGTGACGTTCAGATCCAGGTTTGAATCGCGAAGGCGCAACCCAATGACCCTTCATAAGGGCTCTAAGCTTTCGGCTTTGGCCTGCCTTCTGTTTGTCCTGTCCTGCATCCTGACTCAAGTTTCTGGACAAGATTGCAGCGCCGCCAATCCGTGCGCAACCGGATGCTGCTCTAAGTAAGTATCTGGTCACTTGGTCTAGCCTCTGCTCTGAGTTGTACTGACCGTGAACCTCGCGGCCTGATCAGACATGGCTACTGCGGAACAGGGGAGACTTATTGTGTAAGTGCCTCACGCCGTTCAACCTCAAATCACAATTGAAGCTAAGACTCTCAATCCTTAGGGAGCAGATTGTGTCGCAAATTGCGACTACGAATCCACGGCGCAGTGCAGTGCCACCAAGCCGTGCGCCGAGGGTTGTTGCTCTAAGTTCGGAATTTGCGGATATGGCCCCGACTGTAAGTCACTTTCCATCGCCTCAAGAGGAAGAACAACAAGGCTTACGGGCTCCAACCTGAAACACGGTGCAGACTGCAGTCAGGAGAACTGTGTTTCTTCCTGCGGACAGCCATCCGAATGTGATCCGGGAGACTGGGGATCAGAATTTGCTAACTCGACCACCTGCCCATTGAATGTCTGCTGTAGTAAGTATGGCTTCTGTGGCACCACTGAAGAGTTTTGTGGTGAGAAGAAGGTCAAGCGGCCGTCCTGCGGCACAGGTGGAAAACTCCAGCGTATCGTGGGCTACTACGAGGGCTGGGCCGCCAAGAGACCTTGCAAGGCCTTCTGGCCAGAGCAGATTCCTCGGGGAGTCTACACGCACCTTAACTACGCCTTTGCAACCGTCGATCCATTGACGTTTGAGGTCCTACCGCCCACCTCCTTGGAAGCACGCTTGATGAAGAGGTTGACTGCGTTGAAACGGGACGATTCTGGTCTGCGTGTGAACATCGCGATTGGCGGATGGAGCTTCAATGACCCAGGCTCAACCGCCTCAATTTTCACCGAGCTTGCTGCTTCAGAAGCCAAACAACGGAAGTTCTTCAGATCATTAACATCTTTCTTAGCAACCTACGACTTTGACGGGGTCGACATAGATTGGGAGTACCCTGTTGATGGCGATCGCGGCGGGCAGGAGGTTGACTTCGCGAATTTTCCGCGGTTCATGACTAACTTGAAACATGCATTGAGAGGAACAGGAGGCCGAGGAGAATTGAGTTTGACTCTTCCCACGTCCTACTGGTATTTGAGAAACTTTGACATCAAGTCTTTGGCTAAGAGCGTTGACTATTTCAATTACATGTCATATGACCTTCATGGCACTTGGGATAGAGGTATTGATCCCGTGAGACCTCAACATGAGGTAGCACTTGGCTGATGAAGTACACACATAGGCAATAAATGGACTGGCGATTATCTCGATGCCCATACCAACCTGACCGAGATTGCGGACAGCTTGGACCTACTATGGAGGAATAATATCAGCCCTGACAAGGTGGTGATGGGAATTGCTTTCTACTCCCGAGCATTCACTGTGGCGGACACGAATTGCATGTGAGTATCTTTTCCAGAGCTTAGCGATTGCTGATTGTTGACTCGCCCCGTCTTTACCTTTAGGGCTCCGGGATGTCGTTTCGGGTCCGGATCAGATCCAGGGCCCTGTAGCGGGCAGACGGGGATTTTGATGAACAGCGAACTCGATGATATCAGAGCCAACAGGAGCCTGACGCCATCTTGGGACAAAAAGGCTGCTGTCCAGATCATGAAATGGGATAATCAATGGGCAACGTACGATGATGCCACCACCTTCAAGCAGCGCATCGCGTTCGCGAAGAAAACATGTCTAGGAGGCGTGATGGTGTGGGCTGTCAGCCACGATACCTACGACGGGGTATACTCCAGTGCGCTTGCTAGCCTCTCGCCTCAGGCCAAGCACTTCAAGAAGCTCACAATCTCCACCGATGGTCTGACCGTGACCGAAGACGAACAAAACAAGCAATGCAAGTGGACCGCATGCGGCCAGACCTGCCCGGTGGACTTTGTTGCTATCTCGCGCTCTGACTCAAAGTACAGAAAGGGTGAATTGATGCTCGATGGAATCGATTGTCCAAAGGGATCCAGCCATACTTTGTGCTGCCCAAAGGAGGATGTTCCGAAATGTGGGTGGTATACCCATAACAACGGTAAATGCAACCCCGAGTGTCCGTCTGGCTACTTTGAAATTGGATCAATCTCCAGTAATGGGCTTTGCAAGGCGAGCTATCAAGCAGCTTGCTGTCAAACGAACAAGGACTCCACCAAGCTCTATAGTACGCTACAGTGGTCCACGTCTCCTGACTGCGATAGTGGGGAATGTCCGGTGCTCGACGACAGCAAGTCCGACACGCTGACCCTCGCAACCACAGGGAGCGGAGACGCATGGTGCAATACTCGGTCCTACAAAACTCGCCTCGACTTTACTATTGCCGACATTGTCTATCAGGAGCGAAAGCTATGCTATGATTCGGGGAAAGACAAGATGGCCTGGGATGGCTGCGACTGGTACCGATCAGTAGACAGCCCACCCAAGGGCAAGTCGGGTGATTATTGCGTCGACTCCTGTCCTTCAGACATGGTCCGACTGGCCACGTACAAATACGACGAGACCTGTGCGGGGGGCACGCGTGCTTTCTGTTGCTCCGACAAGTATTATGTTTCAAAGAGCCACACCAACCCGGAAATGCTAAATTTCCGGGCCGCTTTGAATGATTACCAGATAGAGGGAACGTGCTATACGGGCGAGGAGAGTTCACTCAGTCGCAGAGATGACCCATCGTCTAGCCTCGTGAGGCGGGGTGCAAAGAAATTGGAAGAATTCAATCTTGTGTACCCGCTGCTCTATTCGCTGCTCAAAACTAAGGACAGCGATCTCGATGCCAAACAGCAAGTGGAAGCAGGCTACTGGGACGATTGGGCGAGGGCGAATTCTTACCTAGGGCTAGTCCTGAGCACACTGAGGTCGTACGCCCAGCAAACGCGGCTATGGTCTGAACTGGGGGGCGAGTATGTTGCGCAAACATTCTGTGTCGTCCCGTCGCTTGGAGCGAAATGGCTCAAAGGAAATCAATTCCAGTGTGTCAGGGGGATCCATGTGATGAGGACGCAGATCCTGATTTATGTCGAACTGCGGAGCTAGATGGCGAGATCGGTGATGATAGCAACGACGAAGACGACGACGACGACGGGCTTGTGGAGAAGCGAGGATTCTCCCCTCTTCGCCCTCGGGACAGTCTCCAGAAACGTGGTGTCAGCCAGAAGACATTCGAAGTTCACTGTGCCGACGGGACTAAAGTAGAAGGCTTGAAAATAACGCCGGAAGACTACTATTCTGCCGGAAAATGGAAGCCAGCGGACATTCAATATCAAGAAGCTCGGACATACCAGAGTCGACAAGACTGCGCCAACCCCTTGGTGGATCCGCTCCAGAAGCAGGGCAACAACTATGATACTGAACACATTTTGGAGCTACAGATTATCGGGACGTTCTTTGAATATGCGACCCAGGGAAAGCTCGTTTCAGGCCGAAGTCCAGCTTTCCAGCGCATTGGTTGCCATTTCTTCTTAAAACCATCCCAGCATCCCAATGGCCTGGACTTCTTGCATCAGCCAGATTTGGATGGCGTGTTACTCTACCCAGGGGACCCAAACAAGGCTCAAAGGAAGAGCAAAAGGCTATGGCAATATCCTGAATTCCGAATTATGTCTGCACTCGGTTCGAAGAGGAATAAAAAGAACTTCTATTTGCTTGAAAAGGCTGTCAATGGCATGAAAGCACGGGTAAGATCCCCATTGAGTCCTGGACTGCCACATTCTGGAGCGCGCTTACTCATTCCTCTCTTGTAGGTCTTCGGCAATAAAGATCTGGTGGACCCTAGGAAATGGACACCCTTTGTGGAAGACACTTCTAACCCAGGAATCCCGCTCAAAGAGCTCAAGGCAGCTATAGCAGTTTGGCATTATCTCAATGATCAAGAGGTGAAAGCTTCGTTTGTGGAGATTGTCTCAGACTTGCGAATGGTTTGGGAAGCGGTGGATAATGAATTCAACCATGCCATCCCCTTGTTCTTGCCGGCATGGGACGAATGGTGGCACGATTGGATTGACTATCAGGTGGAACGGACTTCCAAATGGGTCGCCAAAGGGATTTCTGAAATGCGTGACGTATGGGAGAACGTGAGCGACGAAGACCCAGCAAAATTGGTTGTTTTGGCGGCACTGAGCGAATTGAGTGGTTTCCACTCGGCCATCGTGACATACAGCCATACCATATTCCCGTAGATAATATCACTAGTAGATACCGGCTGAGGGTAATCTTATTTGGGAAAAGATTCTGCTTATAGAAGTGGCTCTCTCACATTGGTTCATCCAGTGTGTATATATTTCGTATACCTAGTTACCTTCCCCCTCTTACCCCCAACGCCACCCTAACCATTAACGTAATCGGTAAGCGAGTGGCGCGTGTAAGCGGGCGGCGCACCTTGCTAAGTATTCTGGTTTATATATATTTTTAAAGCTAAAAATCAACGTATTTACACTGTTAAAATTATGTTTTCTTGGTATTAATCCCTCGCAGGATATCTTATATATTTATAACTGATTTAATTATAGTCTGAATACTGTAGTAGTATATAATAGTAAGATAATTTTTTACTAATTTTCTACTAAGATATTTTAATCCTAGGTACTTTAATAGTTTTATTAATCTACTAGAAAATTTTAATTATTTTATTAATAATAAAGCTATATAAGTTAAGTATTTAATAATAATTTTATTTCTTCTTTTTTTTTTAGTATTCCTTTATAGCCTGTAATTAGTGATTTTTATATTTAAATAGAGTTATCTAATTAAATATAATCTTATAGTTCTTAATTATATATATTAAAACTAATTTTATTAATATTAATAAACTTAATATATATTTATAAAATAATTTCTTAATTATAATTTTATATTTTCTTAATTATCTTATATTTATAGATATTCTTAGTATAATTAATATAATATTTAACTAGTTAACTAGGGTAGTTTTATAAAAATAATATATAAATTATCTAAATATTTTCTAAGACTAGAAAAGTACTAAACTTAAATATAGAAAATACTTTAAATTATTAAAACTTTAAAGATAAATAAATAGATATCTAGATATATATTTAAAAAAATTAATCTTATTAATATAATAAATATCTATTTAAACTAAGTTCTTAATTAAGTTTTTATATACTTATTTTAAGAATAAGAAATAGGTAATATTTAATAATTAATAAAAATATAAGAAATATAAAAATATATAAATAAAAATAATATTATTTTAATTATAAATTTTATTAAAATAAGATATTAAATAAAAATTATATTTATTAAAAATTAAAAGATTATATTAGCTGATCCTCTATAACTTTATTAAAAAAATAAAATATTTTTAAAATTTATATAATCTAATTTTATTACTAGTCCAGTTATTTAATAAAAAATTAATTTTTTATATAAAAAATATCTTATTCTGATATTAGGTTTTTATATAGATCTTCTTTTTAAAAATTAAATATAGAGATAAAGTCTAGTTTAAGATATTAATATATTTAATTAATATTATTTATTTATAATCTCTAGACTATATAAAAAATAGTTTATTTATATAATTAGATTTTATAATAATTTATACAGCTATAACTAGGCCTATAATAAAACTAGTTTTATTTAAAATTATAGATATTTTAATTAGTAATTAGAGTGGCTAACAGCCAGGTCAGGTCAGGTTAATAGGAACTTTTATACCTGATTATAGGTTAATAATCAGGTTAAAGAAATTTTTATACCTGACTACAGTATAATTAAAAATAAGATAATTAACTATTTTAACTATTCTTAGTATTAAAATCTATTTATTATACTTTTTTTAGCTTTAGTATAGTTAAAGTATATCTAGATTAAATAAGAATTAATTTAATTATTTTAATTATTATTTAAAAATATATAAAAATAAGCTTTCTAGGATAAAAAAAAATAATTAAAAAATATAATAATATCTTTTTTTTTATTTATAAGAAAAAATAGAGAAATCCTAGTAGTATTAATATAATTTAATTTTTTAAAATATTATTACTTTTATAATAAAAAATATAAAAAAAAATATATAATTACAGCTTAATTTAGGCTGTATACTAGAGATCTAATAAATTATATAAAAAATATTATATTTTTACTATTAAAATAATAATTAAAAACTAGTATAATATCTCTAGACTACTATTAAGTCTTTTTAAATAAATTTAATAAGTTTATTATTTTTTTATTTTTTATTAAAAAAGATCTTAATTATCTATATATTAGATTAAAGATTATTTATATTATATTATATAATTAATTTATCTTAATAATTATATTATTTGTAATTATTTAATTTAAATATTAAATATTATATTATATCTCTAATAATAGATTTTATAAAAGTTTTTTTAGATTTCTTTTATATAAATATTCTTTTTATTTAAATTTATTATTTTTATTTAATATTTATATTTAGATCTCTAGAAAAAACTAGATATATTAAAATTATAAGATTTTTAAAAATTAAAATATAAGTAATAAATATTTATTAAAATATAATCTATATCTTAATAAAATAATATATTTAAATTTTAGATTTATAATAGAAAAAAAATTATTTAAATCTTAATTTTAAATATAATTCTAAATAATTAAGTATTTAAATTATTTAGAAGAAGAAAATATTTAATAATTCTAGATTTTAAATATAGTTTTTTATTTATTATATTTATTAATAATAATAAATACAGTAAGTAGATTAAGCTAAAATATAAGGACTAAGAAGTGAAATAGTATAATAAATAAATATTCCTTATAAGAGTTAAAGATAGTATTATATTATCTTAAAATATTATCACTAGTTTCTTATTTTTATAAATAGCTGCTACTTATATAATAGTTATAGTTATTTATTTAGTTTTCTATATAATCTCTTATCTTATTCTTACAGGGGTAGTTAATATTTCTTTATAATAAATTTATTATAAAAATTATAAGAATATTAGTTTTTATAACTACTTTTTTTTTATAAAATAAAACTAGAGTTATATTTATAATATATTATTAAAACTTTTCTCTAGTAAACTTATTTTACAGGAAAATCTAGAATAATAAAAAAAATAATTATTTTTATAATTAATATTCTTTTATATAAATTATTATATAATTATTTTATAAAGATTTATATAATTTTTTATATAACTCTAGTTTTTTAATTATTTACTAGTTTTTTTTTACAGATATTATTTTATATAAATAAAAAATAATATTATTATTTTTTTAAATTCTTTTTTTTAGTATTTATAATCTACTTCTAGAAAGACAAATAAAATTATTCTTATAAAAAAAAAATTTATTTTTATATAAAAAATCTTTTTTTTCTTTAATTAAAGTTTTTTTTTTTTTTTTAAATTTCTAAATTTTTTTATTTTCTCTTCTCTCTTTATTAATAAATATTATAAAGATTTCTTTTTTTTAATATAATATTATTTTTTTTTCTTATAGAATATTATATAACTTTTTATTATAAAATATTTTTTTTTAAGATTTTTTTTATTTTAATATAATTTTCTTTTTTTTATAAGGTTTTATTCTTTAGATCTTTATATAATCTTTTATTTTATTAAGATTATCTTTATACTTTATAAAATATAAATTCTGATTATTATTATTTTTCTAATTTTTTATAAAATAATATTATTTTATAAATAGTCTTTTATTTTTAGTTTTAATTAAATTATTTATTCTATAAATTTTCTTATCTCTGTAAATTTTTTAGATATTTATTAATTTAAATAATTTATTATTATTATTATTATTAATATTTATTATATAATTCTAGATATTACTATTATTATTTTTTTTTATTAGATTATCTTTTAATAAAGCTAATTTATTATTAACCTTTATTCTTATAATATTTATTATAAGTAGTTTTTTATAAAAATCTTTTTTAGTATTATAATTAATTCTAGTATTATAATTTTTTTTTTATTATAATTAATTTTATATCTCTAGTTTTTATAATTATTTTTTTATTTTTAGTTTTTATTCTTTTTACTAGTATCTTAGATATTTTATAATTTTTTATAATTTCTTTTTTTTTTATAATACTTTACTTCTTTAGAATAGGGCTATATAATATACTCTAAAAATAAATAATATATAAATAATTTTTATAACTTAGGATTTCTTAATAATTAAATCTTTTTTATTTTTTATAAATATATCTAGAGTAGTCTAGAACTAGCTGGTATTATATATATAAATTATTAATAAAAAATAAAATATTTTATTTTTTATTAAATTATCTTCTATAATCTATTTTATAGAGATTTAAAAAATAATATTTATTATATTATCTAGTTTCTTTTTTTAAATAAAATAATAGTTTTTATTTAATTATAAATAGATATAAATTTAACTACTTGTTTTATATATTTAATTATATATATTAAATAATTATAATCTTTATAACTAGTTATCTAAGTCTAGTTTTATAAAAATATTCTTATAACTTAAGCTAATAGATAGTTATTATTTAATTAAATATATATATATTATTATAATTTCTTCTATAAAAGAATATTTTATAATTATATATCTAGAAAAATTAAATAGAGATATAATAATTATTTATATATAAAAAAAATATACTACTCTTTTTATTATTAAAACTTTTTTATATATTTTAGTTTTTATCTATTATAATATATATTATAATTATATTATTATCTTAAGATTTATAAATTATAAAGATTTATAAAAAGTAAATAATTAATTTATAAATAATTTTTATATATTTTTTTTTAAAGTAATTTTATATTTTCTATTTCTATAATATAAATTCTTTATAAAATTATAAATAATATAGATTTACAGCAGGCTTTTAAATATTTTTTTTTTAAAATAATCTTTTTATTTAATTAAGATTTCTGTAAATCTCTTTTACTTTTATAAAATAAAAAATATTTTTAAATAATATTTATAAATCTCTAGTTTATTTTTTTATAAAAATTATTTATTTAAGTTTATCTTTTTTATAATATAGTATTTATAAAGTAATAAAATATAAAATATATTATATATTTATAATTTTATAGGTAGCTCTAGTTTATAAATCTATTTATTTATTTTTTTAATTATTTAAAAAGACCTGTAATAGTATTAATCTAGTTTTTAATTTAAATATTTTTATAAAAAATTTTTTATAAATAATTATATTTTT